AGGAGGAGAAGCTCCACCCTTGGCATCTGAGACCTTCAGGGGCACACGGGTTCCCGGGGCAGCGCAGGTGAGCTGCCCCAACTGTCAGGCTATTCCTAACAGCTTCGGAATGGTTACCAATCTGTTGGCTAAGGGATCCTGGTCGTTACTGCAAGGGGCCGCGGCTGCTTATGAGATAATGCTTCCAAGAGAAGGAGCACTCGTGATATAGATCTGATAGCAGGGCATAGCTTTGCACTCATCCGCACCTACTGAGTGGTCAAGCCTTCGGCCAAGGGGTGAGAGCTCAGCCAGAAGCAGAGAGGTGGTGGGGGAGTTTGTCCCGGGAGCCACCCACCTCCGAGTGCTGGAAAATACCCCGCATCTGCATTTGCTCTTGGCCAGCAATTATGCCGCTGTTTCACATTACTCTCTAACACGGGGTTCCGAGAGAGCATGATAGCTGCCAGAGCTCAAGGCTCGTTCTTCCACGTCTTGACTTGCAAGGAAGAGGAGCAAATTTCTTCAGAAAAGGAAGGGTCATCTCTGGATCGCACTTACGAAGTCGTAGACAAAATTCTGTTCCTTCTTTCTGCCTCTGGAACAGAGGCACAATGGGCATCGTGGCAGTGATTCTGCACGGAGATTCGTACCAAGTTTCATAGACTTTAGGGGCCCATAAAACCCCTGAAGTCCACACTGTTCCCAAATGCCAGCCTGGCCCATAAGGCCACCGAGGAAGGTGACAGAGGGGACTTGGGATGTCACCATCAGCAGAGATCACCCATCATCCCGAGAAACTTCCCACTGGGGAAACGTGCACTAGCGGGAGAGGAGGAGGAGGAAAAGGAGGAGGAGTGGGTTTCCCAGCCTCAGCAAGCGTCCTGTGCATGTCACTTATGCCATCTGGTTACTGCACGGTCTTTCCCTACAACAACGACGTTTAGCATGAAAACACACTGTGATCAAATCCAAATTAAATATGTCACCAACAGTGGGCCAATCTGCTCTTCTCCCAGCTTCGCATCCCAGATGCATCTCCTTCTCTCCCCCTCCTGTCCCCAGCCTCATGGCCTGTGTCTCCTCACCCACATGTACCCACAGCGCAGGCCACATGGGCTGTAAGTTTTGGAATCTGCATGCTCTTTACACCTCTGTTGCCGCTGGCCTGAGCTGATGCACCGTCCTCTTTCGCCTGGACTATTATGGTACATAAGCTAAGTCGGGTAACAGCACCCCCTGCTCAAAATTTCTCATTGTCCTCCTGTCACACGAACAAAGGACAAGTCCTGATGGCAGCCCATGAGGCCCTGCATGACACAGACCACAGCTTGGCCTGAGCTCACCTCCCCCTCCCTCTCCCTCCTTGGACTCTGTTCAGCTACACTGTCTGCTTACTGTTCTCATGACCACACTTTAAGAAAGTGGCCTCAGGGTCTTTGCACCTGACCACACTTGAGTCCCTTCTAGCAGACTGCATGCGCCTCAGCAGTCTGCTGCCCTTCCCTGCTTTATTTTTATGGAAATCATTTATCACCGAACATCTCATTTTTACCCTTATTTTGATGGTATTTATCTCCCCTTCAAGAGCATTAGGTCCACACAGGCACAGAGCTGGCCATTGCTTCCCTGCTATAGAATAATGCCTGGCAATTGGGTTCAACTGAAAAATGATTTATTGAAAGAAGAGAAGAGAAATGTTAACCTACCTTAGTCACTTTCTTGTTGCCAGGACAAAGTACCGGACACTCAGAATGCAAAGGAGGGGAGGTTAATTTTGGATCATGTTTTTAGTCTCTGAAGCCTGGAGGAAGGGTCTGGTGGAGGAGAGCTGCTCACAGCATGGGGGACAGGAAGCAGAGAGAAGGGAGGAGCCTCTGAGGGAGAGGCCACGCCCCTTCCTGCGAAGGCCACACCTCTTCCTGCCAAGGCCACACCTCTTCCGGCCAGACCCCAGCTCCTAACAGGAAGTCAGCGATAAGCCCCTACGACCCAGCCACCTCCTGAAAATCCTGTCTCTGAGGAAATGAGGATCTTGGGGGCATCTAGATATAAACCACCACATTATTCACACTGAAAATGAGGAAGCTATTGTGTTTTATATTTTGATTATCTAAGAAAAGTCACTATAAAGATTCACTATGACAGTAAAGCAAAGTCTCAAATTTCCAGTGAGAAAAGGAGACAGCTTGGCGACTGTAATCTGTCTTTCTTTGGCCAACAAAGCTACACGAGGTACTCTTACTAGAGGAAAATGTAAAAGAGTTAATAAAAAGGCAACATGGAACACACTGAAGGCTTTGGTGGACAGAGAGAGGAAGGAAGGAAAAAAGCAGAAAGAGATGCCCCACACAACAACGATCCACGCGGCAAACCGTCACTGTGAATTCCAGGCAACCCCAGGCCCAGAGACGGCTATCTCAGCCGTAACTCCCCTCTGTAGAGAGCGAGTTCCACCCTGGAGATAACGGGACTTCTAATCTAGGTGTTCAGACCTCTAAGCTGCCTTCCCTCATCACTGAACTCCGGCCTGCCTGGGACGCCAGGACACTGATTGTGCATGGGGGTGTGCACCCCTGTGCGGTACCCTAGGGGCAGCTGCTTTGTAGTGCTGACGAACATGGCTTCAGGGTTAAGGTCAGAGGAAAAGGAAGATGACCCATGGTGTATCTCAAGCAGAATAAAGTGCATCAGACTCTGAGTATGCGTGGAAAGCTCACAGAGAACAGAAGAGGGCGGCCACTGTGAACGGCAGAGAGCCACACGCTAATGGGACCGAGTCCTGCATTCCTTTATCACTCTCTGTCATTACAGGAAGATCTCATCCTTCTGACAAAACAACAGTGAAACGGGAATGGATGCAGCTTCGTGGAAAAACCCATGGTTGCTCTTTTAGGCAAAGCATGAGGTCCCTTCAAGGTTAAAGTAGGAGGCGTGATGGATCTCTAAAAACAACCTGCTGGTAACATTCCACACTTCTATGTGCCACACAAAGCCACAAGCAACTTACAGAGAAGCAGCAGCCCACTAAACCCGCCCAGCCCTGTGGGGCGGGTACCACCATGCTGTCTGTGTTTAAGGGAGTTCAGGAAAAGAGGCAGATCCCAGGCAGAAGAGCCAGGACCAGAGCTGAGGTCCTGTCCACAGTCATTGCAGGACCTTCCCACCGGGAGGGGAAACACAAACGTGGCTCCTCTCCTCCAGTGGGTGGGTCAGAGCATCCCACGTGCAGACCAAGGCCATGGACCTCAGAACCAGGAACATGTGTGGCTCTGCTCAAAGTCGCCCTCAGTAGGTGAGCACAGTCTGCCCTGTCTAAGGACACAAGTCAATCACAGGCAAGGGGAGGCCAGCAAGGATTTGGTAAAGGTACCACCCCTCAGCAATGAGATCAGTTCCCTGTCTTCAGGGTCCAAAGCAGGGGTTGGATGTATTTATCTTGTATCTTCTAAAACCAGTGAAGTACAGTGACTACACTTGGACTTTCAAGGTTAAAGCAGAAGGCTGATGAGTCTTCAAAAACAACCAGACCCAAGGTGGCCGGAAATACACTCAGGTCCTTTCATGTGAATCGTGACTGCCCTGGCCTCAAAGAGGAGAGACAACACCTTCCACAAGTCACCAATGCACTGCCAGAGGATCTGCATTTCAGCGCCAGCATAGCGGGTCCCCTGCAGGTCGAGGAAGGTCTGCAGGTTAACTGTGCTGGGATCCCCTGAGCTGTGAGATGCAAGTCCTGCGATGGACTCAGGGCTCTGGAATAGCCCTGAAATAGGTATTAGGAAAGCCCTGCGATCATGGCAAAAGACATTGGCAAGTGACGCTCTGTAAAATTAGATCATTTATAAAGGGAAGGGGGGGGGAAGGGAAGAGGAGGGAAGGGGAGGGGAGAGAGGGGAGGGCTGGGGATGCAGCTCAAAGGGACATCACCAGCTTAGCACGCAAGATGCCCTAGATTTTCTTTTCCAGCACCTCAACAGAGCAATGAGCTTTTGAAAGGAAAATCATAAAGATGATCACAAGACAGAGACTTCAGAGAGAATTATTTGAATCTGAAAGACTAAGCAGTACTTTACAGAGCTCACTGAAATCTTCCAACACTTCGATTCCAAAGTAAAACTTTAAATTTGATCACCCTGGTAGCCGACTATCAAAACTAAGCTATCGGGCCCTGCAGGATGACAGGGCACCACTGTGCCCCGCAGACATTGTCCCAAGTACGTGCGTGACACGCCAGTCTCGCTTTGTGCCAGGACAGAACCGAAAGGGCACGGTGATGACCGAGGCGGCTCTCACACCTCACTGGAAAGGCGACCCATGCTGGTCACGCTCATTTTTAATCTGCTTCACACACATCTCAGACGGATGTTCTTTATCATCAGGCTGTGCATCCCTTCAGCCTCAGGAGCCTTTCCCAGGGACGGTTATCCTGCAAGTCAGGGCTCCTACCCGGGAAGCTTGCAGAGCGACACAGCCCCTCTCTGGAAGCTGTGCGGGGACCTCTGGCCCTGCAGTGGTGACGGGAGCACACTCTGATCACCCATGTGTTTGCTTCATCCCCCCCCCCGCACCCCTGCTCCTGTGTTTCTGCTGAGGCCACAGTCCCTGCTCCTGCCACGGGTGCTTTCCCAGCCACTAATCGGCTACAGTGAGCCCAACACATCGAAGCACGTCTCTGGATGTCACCGGGGCTCCTTCCACACACATCCAAGACAGCTGCTGTCCTCCCAGGGGCCTTTCCTGGGCTCCCTGAACCTGAGTGCTCCCCATCAACCCGGGGCTGCAGATGTGCACAAAGCCAAGGACAGCACAGCAGCTGTGTCTACACCCTGTGAGGCTAACCCCTTCTGGACACATTCCTGCCCTCCACTCCCTACAACCGCATGAGCCGAGCTGCCCAGTGTCTGGGTACAGGGGTACCCGGGCTCCCCAAAACAAGTGTCCACCACCTCTGCTCAGCATCTGTCCCCCACGCTGGAGCCCAGCTGCGCTCCAGGCTCCTGGGGGTGGCGGGCACCTACCTCAGCACGAAGAGATCCACGGTGGAGTTGCTGGAGACGGTGACATAGGCCGTGACCACGTCCCCCTGCTTGGCCGGCCGCGAGGGCAGCCAGATGACCACATTGCGGTCCAGTCGCAGCTCCCTGAGCTGCACACTGTCCTGGGCATGGAGCAGCCGCACCAGGCCCAGGCTCTGCAGGCGTGATGCTGGCCCCTGGGCGTCCTCCTTCCCTGGGCGGATGGCATTGCCCGTCCTGAGGTCCCCCGAGGAGGTGCAGTCTCCGCGCGCATCTGCAGGGTGCACTGAGTAATACAGCTCCACCGGGCTGCCCTCGGGCTGCTCCACCGGCCTCCTCCTCCCGGCCACCACCGTCGGGGGGCTGAACCACGCGGCGGGGACCTCCAGCTCCGCCACGCACAGCCCCAGGTCCCCGGCGAGCCGGCAGCTGCCCCGCACCTCCCGGGTCTCTTGGAAGGCGAAGACGCGCAGGCAGGGCAGCCTCTCCGCGGGCCGCGCGTCGTCCCAGTCCCGGCCGGCCAGGTGGAAGAGGACCTGCACCTTGGGGCGGCTGGGGTAGATCTTCTCCCGCAGGACTGTGGCCTTCAGCTTCCAGCCCAAAGTAAACCGGCTGCTCGGGCCCAAGGGGCTGGCGCTCAGCATGAGCTCCAGCGGCACCACTTTCTCGGCCCAGTACGGCCCATAGCTGGCGTTCAGCACCGGGGGCTGCCTGGCCTTGTAGGTGAAGAAGGACGAGACCCTGGTCTGCAGGCTGGCGTTGCGCAGCGTGTCCTGAGGCTGCCTTTCCTGCAGGAAGAAGGCGCTGTCCGCGCCCCGGACACTGTAGCTCACCGGCAAGTAGGGTGGCAGTGAGGAGGAGAACCTGTGCGCTCCGCTGTCCGGGACCCCGCGGGCCTCAATCACTGCGGGAGGAAGAGAGAAGACGAGTGATTGACTGGCTCCTGGGGGTGGTCAGGGCTGCAGGCTGGAGTCAGGGTTTGTGCCCGCGTGTCCTCTGCTCGGGGGAGGAGGTTCAGGCGGTGACTGGATCACAGGGGCATACGCTATCGGTGGATTAGTCCTATGATTACTCTTTATGGCTAAAGGTGGAAAGAAATGGGTCACCTGGGTCACCTCCTGGGTCACCTGGAAAGAAGTGGGTCACCTGGGGCATGGCCTGGTGGGTCTGCCTCCCTCCTCTCCCCTTGATTCCTGGCTGTTTCCTGCAACCATGCCACGAGCTGTTTCTCCTCTTCCTAGGCTCCCTCTGACTGTGGGCTGCAACCTTTATGCACCGTGAGGTGAAAATAAACCTCTTCCTTTAAACTGTAGATGTCAGGTTTTGTGTTTGAGTGATGAGAACTTAACTAAACAGCGAGGTAAAATCTCTGAAGTCTACCTGGCTGGAGTTTTATATTGTATCTGGAATCAGCCAGTATCACTCCAGATGGTCCTCAATCATATGTTAGGTGAAAATATGCAAAACCAAGTGTTTTGTAGAATTAGTTAATGATTGTAATTTGATACAGATCAGCCTAACTTTGCAAACTGACAGGTGATTAAAAAAAACACAGATTATGGATGAGATATAATTTGCATGAGTTTGAATTGTGTTTAATTGCCCCAGTACATGATTAGAAAAAGAGACCAACAGAACAAAGCCTATAAATAAATCCAAGAGCATATGAAGATCTACCGCATGATAAAGCTGGTATCTCAAACCTGGATGCACACATAAACTTTTTAAATAAATGGTGCTGGGTCCACTAGATGGATATTTGAAGGAAAAGGTAAAATTTGATTCATATCTCACAGCATACATAAGAATGAACTTCAAATGGATCAGTAATTTCTTTTTTAAGTAATAAAGCAAACATGAAGGAATTCCTCTATAACTCAAGGTAGGAAATATTTTCTAGTCATAACTTAAAGTCCAAATTCATTTTTTTTTTTCTTTTTCCTTTTTATGGGTACCGGGGATCGAACTCATGACTGCCTGCTTGCAAGGCAGGCGCTTATGCCGCTGAGCTAAATCTCCAGCCCCCCAAATTCATTTTTTCAATGATAAATTTACTTATGTAATTTTAAAATTATTTGCCTTATCCAGAGTACCATAAGCCAAGTCCAAAGGAAAATGGTATGCTGTGGGAAGATACTTGGACTGGATACACTGTGTCACAGATAAACACAAGTGTCTGTAGTGGAGGGAGATCTGCCTCTTGAGGAAAGAAAGAGCCAAGCAACTGGAAATGAGGGAATATATGGATACAGAAGTCATCAAAAATACACGGAAACCGGCCTTATATGTAGGAAAGCTATTCACCATCACTCACAATTAGAAATATAAATTAAAGCCACAAAGGGCAGTTGTCCGCTGTCAGACTGGTGGAAATCAGAGCGAGCCCACGCCCTACTGGGAAGTCCAGAGACACAGACCAAGCTCAAAGCTTCGCAGAAAGAAAAAACATTCTGGCTCTTCTGGGCGCGAATCTGGCAACTTCTGTGACATCACAGACACATTTCGGTATGCCTCGGTGGCCCCTCTTCTAGAAATCCACCCCAAAATTTCAATGCCATAGTTTAAAAATACACACACATATGATCATTCATTGCAACACCTTCAATAGTAAAGTTAGAAGCACTTTGTGCTAGTGATTTACAGCTATAAAACACAAGCAGCACACCCCTATGTAGGTGTTGTGGGCTGAGGCTCAATGTTCCCCAAAGCCTCAGGTGCTCCTAGGTGAGGCTTTGGAAGGGTGACTGAGTCACAGGTGCTGTAGCTACATGGGGTGCTAGGAGGTGGGCTTGGCCTGGAGAGGGACGGCTGCAGCCCGGCCCCGGAAGGGGTGCTCTTCTTCCCTGGCTCCTCCCTGTCTCTGCTTCCCGGCTGTGGTGAGGAGAGCAGCTTTCCCCCGCCAGGCCCTTCTGCTGTGATTCCTCCATTGGAGACGGCCCACTGTGGACTAAAAACATAAGCCAACATAAACTTCTCTATTTTAGGATGTCTGACACTGGGTCCCAGAGACGAGAACACGAAGAACACAGTAAGAAGATGCTAAAATAAATGGGGTTGATATGGTAGATAGTTAAGGCAGGCAGAACTGTTTCAGGCAGTCAGATAGGGCTAAGCCCTCCAGGGAGTTGGGGCAGAGGGGAGGTCGCATCGCAGTCTCCTCTGAACAAATCGTAGGAATAAATGAGGAGGGCACAGGGTTTTCAACTAGTAGGTGAAATCCGAGCCCCTGAGCGGCCAGTAAGATGTGCAGGCAGATCAGAGAGAAAGCTTTCTCTGTGATCACAGCAGCATGCACTGGAGCCAATGACTCAGCCCAGAGTCAGAAAGGGCTGCCAAGATTCCTCGGTGACAAGGCTGTGAGTCCCCGGGACCTCCAGTTGTCTCCCAACAAGATAATCCCGAGTCATCGCTGAATTATGAAGGAACAGAGGGGTTTCCGTGGGGGTAACTTGGTGGGCAGCACTTTACCCCAGGGGCCAGACGCTGCCAGCAATGGGAGGAATAAACCTCTCAGAGGGGATGCGTAAGAAATGTCCTCTTTATCTAAAGGACATTTTAGGACAAGTGGCAAAATTTGCAGTTCTCCAAAATAGTTAATAATATTGTATCAATGTTAATGTCCTCCCTTGATGACTATGCTATAATTATATAAAAGGCTATCATTATGTTTAAGCAATGCACTCTGAAATATTTAGTGAAAAAGTGACATATCTGTACTTACCCTGAAACAGCTCAGGGGAAGAGGAGAGAGAGACAGAGACAGAGATAGAGACAGAGACAGAGAGACAGGGGGCAGGGGGAGACCCAAATTGAAGCAAGCAGGATAAAATTTTAACATTTCAGGAATCAGGAAAAGTGTATGACATTATTTTTCTACTATTCTTTTCTCTAAATCTCAGATTATCCATAAAATGTTTAATGAAATAAGTAAAGAGCAAGGTATCTCGGTCATTTTGGTCTTTTAAGCCCTTATCTTTTGCTTACAGAGAGTGCAGTCTATTTATGTATTCATATTAGGGAAGACAACACTGAGAGAAATGGTTCCCTACATTACTCAGAAATCATGAATCAGCGCGCTGCCCCGTAATTATTCCCAGGCTCTTAGATGATCTTTGGTGATGGTGACCGCGCGGCAGACAGTGAGGCTGAGTCATGATCACCACCCTCTTTCCTCACAGCTTAGGCAAAGAGCTCCTCACCAACCCTTACAGATGAATGAGTAAGGCCCCATAAACTGCCACCCTCCTTCGGTGGCATGTGGTTCTCTTCCAGGCCTCTGGGTCCTCTGGACACCCTTGGGACCCAGCTCGTAGAGGCAGGCGTGGTGGCACCTCAGCCCTGTGCCTCCGGCCTTCCTGATCTATCCAGACCAGACGCAGCCACTGGGCGCTCGCGGGGCCCAGCCGGCCTGCAGATGGTCTTGGTTTTAAAGATCTGTACGAATGAAAACCCACTTTGTTAATACCGGGAAGTCTCTGGGGTTCCAGTTTGTCCTTAACCATGGCAGGAAGCTTTACCCACAGCTGGCACCAGCGAGAGAGGATGGGAGGATTCCTGGGCCACCGGTGCTTGGACTCTGAGCCCCTGCTGTGCAGTGAAATCACCTGCTTGGCCTTCATGGGGTCCCCCGAGTGTGAGGCTCTGGACTTGGGTCATCAGTAATCGGTGTCTGCTGAGGGGCTCACCTGGTGGCTCTCAGCGACCTCCAGGGATTCCTGACTGTCCCGCCCTCAGCAGGAGCAGCAAGCCAGCGGGCTGCCTGCCTGCCTGATTCTCTCCTCCTAAGCCCCCCGGAGGCCCTAGTTTGTGGTGCTAAGGGTCAGCTTCACGCAAGAACTTGAAGGGTCCATCTCTTCACTGTGCAGGCCCAGGCGGGCCCAGCTCCTCGTCCTGGCATTCCCGACTCTGTACTCTGCTCCTGGATTGAGAGGCAGGCACCGCCCTCCCGGCTCCCTTCTCTCCAGCCTGGCCTTTGGTCCCTATCAGACTGTAGAGCATCCCATTCACATCTTGCTTAGCCACTGGAAGCGGCTCTAATCCTTTCCTGGCAGAGACATTGGCGAGGACATCAAAGCTGCCTCTGGTGCCGTAGCCAAGTGGACTTGGGTTGTCAAGATGGCTTTTCAGAGAAGTGGCATTTGTGCCTGCTCCTCGTCCCGGGCCACGTTCCGAGGTCACCAGCAGGGGCAGCTTCGCCCCTCTTGCCTTGGGCTCGGCCTCCGAATCAGCTTTAAGCACCCAGGAGGCACCACCCAGGTGCTGCCTTCCGGAAAATGTTCCGATTTCTGTCCTTTAAGAAGCCGTTAACTGTTTAAACAACTTGTATTTTGCAAAAAATCAGCAGGATAATTGCTACAACCAGTTGCTTTGCTGTGAAGTATTCATCATGTTTCCAGAAGCCCTGAGAACTCGAATGCAGAGGCCAGAGACCCCCTGGCAGGGTCCTGCAGACAGAGTGGACCTCAGACTCAGGACTCCGTCTCTCGGGGAAACATCTCCAACAAGTTTCTCATGCTTTTCTCTTCTTACACATGAGGTCTTTGTTCTATCATTTTCTAATTCACCGGAAGAAAAACCCCAACACAGGAACGGATTGCTTTGCAGCAAATGGCCAGCAGCCTCCGAGGACAAAGGGGGCCAGGGCTCGCTGCCAGAGCCCTCCCGGAGCCTTCCTGCAGTGTGGGGGCAGTTCCTGCTTGTCTCTTGCATGGAGAAAGTACGTGGTGCTGGTACCTTCTTGCTAGGCTGAGTTCGGAGTCACTCCAGCTCACTGTCAAGGAAGGAAGGGGGTCCCCTGCAGGGGCTGGGGCGTGCAGTTGTGTTGTGAAGGGGTCTGGCTTGCCCTGCCCACAAGCCAGGTGTCCTTGGGGGTGTTCCCACTTTCTGGGAGGGTTCAGCTTCCAC